ACTATGAAAGCGAATGCATGCACAAAACAGAGAACACACTTAATACACAACCGTATCCAAAGGCGTTCGAAACTCCAATCCCCGTATGCGATATTTTTCAATAAATCATAGCACGAAAACAGCTCATCTAATCTAAATGACGTCTGAGACAAAGTTGTAGGAGACTGGATTGTCTTTTTTAGAAAAAAATACACACTGAACAATCATAAATTTCCGTAAAAAATAAAAATAAAAAGACAGGCGTGGTATGAGCACCGACAAACCGATATGAATGACCATAGCAAAAACAATGAAATTTCTGACCAAAGCACACTACTGACATCTGGCTCAGTGTTCCCGGGGAATATTTAGCTAAGCCAGACGTTAGCTGGATATGATTTAATATACACCGATGGTTCCAAGGCCAATGGCACAGTAGGTGTTGGTGTGTAAGGAAGAGATCTTGTGATACACCAGCGGCTACCAAACATGTGCTCAATGCACCAATGCAAAGGCAACTTATACTGCCATATTATCAGACTCCGCGAGTGTCCTTAAAGCCCTTAAAAAGGACCGTATACGTCACCCATGGGCGATAAATGATCCGGGCGACAGCGAAACCTAACACTCTTTTCGTTTGGATTCCCGGACACTGCGGCATCCCGGGCAATGAAAGCACAGATAAGCTTGCGGCCTTAGGTCGAGATTCGCAGCTACTCACCACACAGGTACCCTTTCAAGATGCCAAAACCTTGGTTAAAAACATAATTTCGGTAGCTTGGACAGTAGCATGGCACCAAGAGAGAGACCTTTTTCTTCGTAAGGTCAAAGGTGAGACTACCAAATGAAATGACCAAATCAATAGAAAAGATCAACGAATCCTATCTAGGTTGGGAACCGGCATCAGACGAATAAGTCACTTCCAGTCGGGACGATACGATCAAAGCCTATGCGATTTTTGTGGGATTCGGCAGTCTGTCGAACACATTATTGCTGTTTGCCCTCAGTATCTAGATTCGACTGGTAACTGGTATAAGAGATATTCTTGCTAACGACCCTTCAACAGAAACAGCTTTGCTCTGTTTCCTTAAAGACACAAAACTGTACGAACGAATTAAGCTGACATCAACCACGGGAACTTTTGGAACTTCTAAACAACAACAAAGTGCGCCACTACAGGACTACGATTAAGGTTTCTTGATTAACAACTTTACTGACTTGATGAAGAACAACGCAACTAAACCGGACATTTCAATTTATGGAACTTTATAAAATAATTGTTATGAAAAGTATGTAATATGCTTTGCCAAGGGGGTCTCCTTCGATGCATTTTCTGTTAATTTTTGGTCAAGTATTAATCCAAGATATTTCACTTGGTTTGACCAGGAAATAGGAACTCCGTTCATAGTGACTATGTGACTATTACTAGGTTTCAAAAACGAAGCTCTAGGCTTATGTGGAAATATTATAAGTTGAGTTTTGGAAGCGTTGGGAGAAATCTTCCATTTTTGTAAATAAGAAGAGAAAATATCTAAACTTTTCTGCAGTCTGCTGCAAATAACACGAAGACTTCTTCCTTTAGCGGAAATGCCTGTGTCATCAGCGAACAAAGATTTGTGGCAACCCTGAGGCAAATCAGGAAGGTCCGAAGTGAAAATGTTGTACAATATAGGCCCAAGAATGCTACCCTGAGAAACTCCTGCTCTAACAGGTAGTCGCCCCAAGTAACAATTCTGCAATCATGTGGCATCCACTCTGATTTATGATGGTTTTATAATGGCAATGAATAATCCATTTAGTTTAAATCCAGCATTTTGCAGTGTAACACGTTCCTGCTTAGTAGTTCACCTTTTCGCTGTTTTAAAAACCTTTTACAGTCTGTCGAGAAGTCAAAAACTGTCATGTTTTAAAATTAAATTTAAAGTTGTTCTCAATCCCACCATAAAACTGTTCTATAAATCAATCATAAACTTCATTAGCAATTTTTTATTGATGTCTTGATAAAATACTCTATAAACCTGTTCTATCATTATAAAAGCAATCATATAACCATTAAGTTTTAAATGAGAGCAAATGGTATATATTGTTGCCTTTTAGGCTTTTAAAAGTGTATCATAAAATCTCCTCTGTTTACAAATTGAATTTTAAGGATGGATCCTCACAGTGAATGAAAACCAAATTTATGACAAGGATATATCGAAGGATAAACGAAGTTGGAAGAAAAATTCAAGCGATGCTAACGACCGAAGTAAAATTTAGTTCTTTAGAAGAACCAGCACGTCCGGCGGAACGGTTACAATCAACGACTGAGCATCTGGTGGAGAAGAGAGAAGTGAGCGTGGTCCTCAAATTCATAAAACATTGTCAAAACAGCCTGAAAACAAACCAGCCTTCTCCAGACCTTGCGAATAGATGAAGATCGGAATAACTTGTGTCAGTACCGACAGCAAACCACTGAAACTGTCCGTTAGCGGACACTAGTTGGTTTCCGATCCATAGCTGCGATTTTATTCGGTGAAAGGGTCATCAATTGGAAAAAATTAATTCAACTGTACATTTCTGCATCGTTTGATGGTGCACTTCCAGAACCATCCGGAAGAAGGGGATCTTTTCGGGAATTATCGAGGTTACAGTTGTGCGAAATGCGAAATATTGTGAACACTTTCTTAGTAACTGCTTCCAAGCCATCGGGAGATAATCGCCTGGAAGAATGCTGAATCTCACAGCGCAACTATCGAAAGATAAACAAACTTTGACGTTTAACTTTTGCAAGCAACTTTGCCTCCATAAATGCTGCCATAAATCTGAACGGGTTAAGATTAAGCAAAATGGCCTTAGATAAATACAATTCAGCCTGCAAGTTTTCTTCATAAAAGCCATTTTACAACATAAGGATTTTGTTATGGATTTCTTAAAAGCAAAACAACTTTTTCACAAATGACCCATGAAAATCAACTTTTATGCCACCGCCATGTTACATTTAGTTTGCTTGTTTTTTTACAATCTTCGATTTTCTCTCTATATTTCCTTGGATATAACTATATTTTGGTAAATTTAGCAATGAGCAAACATTTAAATGCGAATATCATAAAAAAATAATCTCAGCCTAGCTCGATCTGAAAAATAATTTATTTTATTCAATGTAAAATAATTAGTCAAATCGACGTTTTACGAGAGCGGACCTATTTTTTTCGATGTTTTCATGTACACTTCACATGAAATTTAATAAGGCACTTAAAACTAGGCCACATAATGAGAACTATTGTAATACATTTGGATATTCAACACGATTTTTATACCATCAGTTTCTATTATAATTATTTTGATAAGATCGGATTCATAAATCCTTTTCTATCTTGATTGATGCTTTCCTAGTGGATTTAGTAAGCGACTAGGGGAAACGGCTCGGAAAGGGTTTTGATTGTTGCTAAATAGCTTTTGTTGTAGTTTTCAAATGGTTCTCAATGCGTTCGTCATACAACCTTTTGCAGTAAATCAATCTTGAAGAGCTTCGAGAATACACCCTTCAGAACCTTCTTCAGGGTGGGCCAACTAGACACATTCTAGTCTTAATGAGGTTTTGGTGGATGCATTAATGACAAGATAGCCTTGACCAGGGTTTTATGAATGTTGTTTTATAATTGCTTTGTAGTATTTCATAAAACTTAAAATGTTACGGCAGTGTGAAGATTGTATATAGATATTAGACAAGCGAGCTAGGACAACTTTTAAGGAAGGTACAAATCGGTTTTTTTATCTCTCTTTACCAAACTCCCCCTTTGGAGAGGGATGGTGAGGGGTGTCCCCCCCCCCCGCCACCACTGGCAAAAAGAGATGAAAACCGACCCGCTCATGTACCAACTGTGTGTTTGAAACAGTTCTACCGATTGTTTACCGCACTTCAAAAACCGATTTGTACCTTCCTTAAAAGTTGTCCTAGCTCGCTTGTCTAATATCTATATACAATCTTCACACTGCCGTACTCTAACGGAACTATCAACTCTATGCTTTCATCTACTCCATCTATCGTATAAAAATTACCACTACAGTCTGTTATTTGAAATTAGCATCTTCAACTATGTTGTTTACTTGATAAATTGGCAGAATAGTAGTTTTAAGCCCATCAACAATTACAAATAATGTTATTATCTGATCTCTAAACCGTATTCTTACCAAGGTCCTAAGTAACATTAATCTTTGTAATCATACCAATTTGACAGGTCCTAACTGATACTGTAAAAAGCCAAAGGTCCTATGTAACAAAACCACTAATTAAACCTGAAAATTATGAATAAAACGAAAAAACATACACTTCAGTCGAATTCTATGTGTTTCCTATGCATTTGAAGAAACAAAAAATTATCGTAATTAAAAATGGCATTTAAAAATATATTGCAAAAATTCAAATCAATTTTTCTCCAATCAGCTTCAATGACAGATAGGACCTTTAGAAATGTTTGTCTAGACTTGTCTGTCATAGTTCTGCAACATAAAGATTCGTGATGTCAGGTGCCCTTTGATTTCTAAAGGTGTTTCGCCATGCATGACTAACATTAGTAAGTTTCCGAAAGTTGAGTGAACATGTTTGGAACCCTTTGGAACCTAATCATAAATAATATAGAAACTGATTTTCTAATTTCAAAAATTGAATCTTAATTTTAGGATTTATTCAATTATCGCCTGATCAATAAAAAAATAATGAACTCCTCACTTTGGAGTGAAATTTCTAAACCATTTGTTTCGTTATTAATAATAATATATGATTGAATGGAGCAGCAAAATTAATCCCATAGTTCTACGTCAACAATACGGCCGTGCTTTGGACACAACCCTTAACTGTTTCATACTTGAAACTTCTTACATTCCACTGGTGAAAAGTTCAGAGTGATGTCTGCTCAGCTCAGAAATTGTTCTATGAAGTCTAGAAAAGTTTTTAAGATTTCATTATTAGGATCGACCCAGAAAAAAAATATATTCCGTTTACCACTAAAGTTACGATATCCTTTTCCTCTCGTTCACAGGCATCAACAACCTGCAGGAGGTATGGGACGTCTCCGAAGGCGAGTGCAACGTGCTGCTAGAATCCCGCTACGAGAAGCTGTACGAAAAGATCGATTTAACCCTGCTGAATCGGCTGCTCCGCTTGATCGTGGATCACAACATTGCCGATTACATGACCGCCAAGAACAACGTGGTCATCAACTACAAGGACATGAACCACACCAACAGTTACGGAATCATTCGTGGGCTGCAGTTTGCTTCGTTCATCGCCCAGTACTACGGGCTGGTGTTGGATCTGCTGGTGCTCGGCTTGCAACGGGCCAGTGAAATGGCCGGTCCACCGCAGATGCCAAACGATTTCCTAACCTTCCAAGATGTGGCTACGGAATCGTGCCATCCGATTCGATTGTACTGCCGGTATGTGGATCGGATTCATATCTTCTTCCGCTTTACGGCGGAGGAAGCGAGGGATTTAATTCAGCGGTACTTGACGGAACATCCGGATCCAAACAATGAGAACATTGTCGGTTACAACAATAAGAAGTGCTGGCCGAGAGATGCCAGAATGCGCTTGATGAAGCATGATGTCAACTTGGGACGGGCAGTGTTCTGGGACATCAAAAATCGTTTGCCAAGATCGGTAACTACCGTTCAGTGGGATAACACTTTCGTTTCGGTGTACTCCAAGGATAATCCGAACTTGCTGTTCAATATGTGCGGATTTGAATGCAGGATCCTGCCAAAATGCCGCACTCAAAACGAGGAATTCACTCACCGTGACGGTGTGTGGAATTTACAGAACGAGGTGACCAAGGAACGTACAGCTCAATGTTTCCTGCGAGTGGATGATGAATCCCTTTCCCGGTTCCATAACCGTGTCCGTCAGATTCTGATGGCTTCCGGTTCGACTACCTTCACCAAAATTGTCAACAAGTGGAACACGGCTCTGATCGGATTGATGACCTATTTCCGGGAAGCGGTTGTCAACACGCAGGAACTGCTGGATCTGCTGGTGAAGTGTGAGAACAAGATTCAGACGCGTATCAAGATCGGTTTGAACTCGAAAATGCCCTCGAGATTCCCGCCGGTAGTGTTCTACACTCCGAAGGAGTTGGGTGGATTGGGAATGTTGAGTATGGGTCACGTGCTGATTCCGCAGTCGGATCTGAGGTGGTCCAAGCAGACCGATGTGGGCATTACACATTTCCGATCTGGTATGTCTCACGATGAGGATCAGTTGATTCCGAACTTGTATCGATACATTCAGCCGTGGGAGAGTGAGTTCATTGATTCGCAGCGTGTCTGGGCAGAGTACGCTTTGAAGAGGCAGGAAGCGAATGCTCAGAATAGACGTTTGACGTTGGAAGATTTGGAGGACAGTTGGGACAGGGGTATTCCTAGGATCAACACACTGTTCCAGAAGGATCGTCACACGTTGGCATATGACAAGGGATGGAGAATTAGGACTGAGTTCAAGCAGTACCAGGTACTGAAGCAGAATCCCTTCTGGTGGACCCATCAGCGTCATGATGGTAAATTGTGGAATTTGAACAACTACCGAACGGATATGATCCAGGCTTTAGGTGGTGTGGAAGGTATTTTGGAACACACGCTCTTCAAGGGAACGTACTTCCCAACGTGGGAGGGTCTCTTCTGGGAAAAGGCATCCGGTTTCGAAGAGTCAATGAAGTACAAGAAGCTGACCAATGCCCAGCGTTCCGGTTTGAACCAGATTCCGAATCGTCGGTTCACGCTCTGGTGGTCTCCTACGATCAATCGAGCCAACGTGTACGTAGGTTTCCAGGTACAGCTGGATTTGACCGGTATTTTCATGCACGGTAAAATTCCAACTTTGAAGATTTCGTTGATTCAAATCTTCCGAGCTCATTTGTGGCAAAAGATCCACGAATCGATCGTTATGGATCTCTGCCAGGTGTTTGATCAAGAGTTGGACGCTTTGGAAATCGAAACGGTTCAAAAGGAGACGATCCATCCTAGGAAGTCTTACAAGATGAACTCGTCTTGTGCGGATATTTTGCTTTTCCCTGCTTACAAGTGGAATGTGTCTCGGCCATCTCTGTTGGCTGATACAAAGGATACAATGGACAACACGACTACCCAGAAATATTGGTTAGACGTCCAGCTTCGTTGGGGTGATTACGATTCGCATGATGTGGAACGTTACGCAAGAGCCAAGTTCTTGGATTACACCACGGATAACATGTCCATCTATCCATCCCCAACGGGCGTTTTGATAGCGATCGATCTGGCGTACAATCTGCACAGTGCCTACGGAAACTGGTTCCCGGGGTGTAAACCACTGATTCAGCAAGCTATGGCCAAGATCATGAAGGCCAATCCTGCTCTGTATGTACTGCGAGAGCGTATTCGTAAGGCGTTGCAACTGTACAGTTCGGAGCCGACTGAACCCTACCTTTCCTCGCAGAACTACGGAGAACTCTTCTCCAATCAGATCATCTGGTTTGTAGACGACACCAATGTGTACCGAGTAACGATCCACAAAACCTTCGAGGGTAACTTGACCACGAAACCCATCAACGGAGCCATCTTCATCTTCAATCCGCGAACAGGACAACTGTTCTTGAAGATCATCCACACGTCCGTGTGGGCCGGTCAGAAGCGTCTGGGTCAGTTGGCCAAGTGGAAGACTGCTGAAGAAGTAGCGGCTTTGATTCGATCACTGCCCGTTGAAGAACAGCCCAAACAGATCATCGTCACCAGAAAAGGTATGTTGGATCCTCTCGAAGTCCATCTGCTCGATTTCCCGAACATTGTGATTAAGGGCTCTGAGCTGCAGCTACCATTCCAGGCTTGCCTGAAGGTAGAGAAGTTTGGTGATCTGATTCTGAAGGCTACCGAACCACAGATGGTCCTGTTCAATCTGTACGATGATTGGTTGAAGACTATCTCGTCGTATACTGCGTTCTCTCGATTGATCTTGATCCTGCGCGCACTGCACGTGAACACTGAAAGGACAAAGGTCATCCTTAAACCGGACAAGACCACAATCACCGAAGCTCACCACATTTGGCCGACTCTCAGCGATGAAGAATGGATCAAGGTTGAAGTGCAGCTCAAAGATTTGATTCTCGCCGATTACGGCAAGAAGAACAACGTGAACGTTGCCTCTCTCACCCAGTCGGAAATCCGTGACATCATCCTTGGTATGGAGATTTCCGCCCCGTCGGCTCAACGTCAACAGATTGCTGAAATTGAGAAACAAACAAAGGAACAGTCTCAACTCACGGCAACCACCACCAGAACTACCAACAAACATGGCGACGAGATTATCACTTCAACTACCAGCAACTACGAAACCACCACCTTCAGCTCGAAAACCGAATGGCGCGTTCGAGCCATCTCTGCCACGAACCTTCATCTCCGAACCAACCACATCTACGTCAGTTCGGACGACATCAAGGAAACCGGCTACACGTACATTCTCCCGAAGAACATCCTCAAGAAATTCGTCACCATTTCCGATCTCCGAGCGCAAATTTCCGGTTATTTGTACGGCGTGAGCCCTCCAGATAACCCACAGGTCAAGGAAATCCGCTGCATCGTAATGCCACCGCAGTGGGGTACTCATCAACAGATCAACCTCCCCAACACCCTACCTACACATCAGTATCTCAAGGACATGGAACCTCTCGGTTGGATCCATACCCAACCGAACGAATTGCCTCAACTTTCCCCTCAGGACATCACTACCCACGCAAAGATCATGTCGGAAAACACCACATGGGATGGCGAAAAGACCATCATCATTACCTGCTCCTTCACACCCGGTTCTTGCTCCCTGACCGCGTACAAATTAACCCCATCCGGTTACGAGTGGGGTCACAAGAACACCGACAAGGGCAACAATCCCAAAGGATACCTACCATCGCACTACGAACGCGTGCAGATGCTGTTGTCGAACAAATTCCTGGGCTTCTTCATGGTACCGGCTCAGGCTAGCTGGAACTACAACTTTATGGGCGTGAGGCACGATCCGAACATGAAGTACGAACTGCAGTTGGCGAATCCAAAGGAGTTCTACCATGAGGTACACAGACCGTCGCATTTCTTGCTGTTCTCCAGCCTGGAGGAGGGTGCCGATGGAAACGGCGCTGACCGGGAGGATTTGTTTGCGTAAGTTGAAGCGATTCGGGCTGAAACCAGTGTGTGAGCGTGTTGGACTGTACTGGATGTTAGTTGTAAGGTTTTACTCTTAAGTAACTGTGTAAATAGTCGCATGGCTCTTTGACGGTATCTTCAATAAAAAGTTTACAATAATAGAACGTCGCATGGTTTGTGTGGTTTTTTCTTCGAATCTTACCCTAAAATAAACTTTTCAAACGACTAGCTATGATCTTAGGTGCGGTTCGAAACAGCATCTACCTGGTAGCCAGAGGATCATTGTTATAGGAGTTCTTGAGTTCGCTTGTGTTCCGAATCTTGAGCATTTTCTGTTGATGATGATGGGGACCTACACAGGTTTTCATCAAGACGCTTTATCTATAAGATAACCACGGTGTTAAACGACAAAAAAAAATTGGCAAGTGACCTACTGTAAGTTATTAGGCTATAGGAGAGTACACCATGAAATCACATTTAAAATTGTTCTAACAACCCCAAAATTTAAAGTTATTGACGCATTTCGCGCCAAATCGAATCGAAGCTGGCAGGCCCTCCCCATGGACATGGAGGTTGACGGTACTGAAGCAAAGGGTTATGTTTGATTTCTTTATATTTGCAACGATGATGATTTCCTATAGTGACACATATCACCTTCTTAATGCTTCAGTATACCTCAAACGATTAATTCTTGGTTGTTAATAGAACTTCCTTGATGCAATCGGCTGCTTCATGCAGACTGAGCAATTCTGATTATAGTATCAGATTTGTTCTGTATACAGAGGAACTGGGAGGGCTTATTAGAAACTTCTCACCAATAAAGTAATGATCTTCTAGTAAATTTTGCATATAATTTTATTAAAATTTTATTTTATTTTAGCATATTAGTTTTGTTACAGTCAATTGGCATTAGCATACGATACAAAAGATTTAATATTACTTGTTGGTTTTTGTGTAAAATAATCAATAATACCTTTGAAAGATTTTTCAAGTTTTTGTGATCTGATAGATTTCCCAGTTTGGTAAGAAGTTTCGAAGCTAACGCATGTCCACAGGCTTAATAGAAAGATAGGCAGAAAAAGTGTATCATGAAGAATGGTTGCATGCAGGGTTTCTTCCACTCACTTGCTATAGATGAGTGATTTTCGGAGTTTTGAATTCGTTAGATGTTGTAATGGGGATTTGTGTTTGTTGGATGCGGGAGGAGATGGGAGGGCCGGTGTTTGACGCATAGAGCCGTCAATTTCGCTTTCAGAGTGTCGCAGTCAGCGGTTTTATGATTCGTGAGCGCCCGCGATTCGTAGAATCGTTGATTGTGACTGCAAGTGGATTTGACGGGTTTTGTGTTTCGGACGCTTGTTTTTGGCCTCTTCTTGTGTCTAACATGTGCAGAGTATCATTATAACGTCTAATGGTTTTGAGATTCCTGGTGGCGTGAAATATATTTGTGAGAATATCTTTTTGAGATTTTAGCAGTCACGTTTTGTTTGTAGTTTATATTTTATTTATTCATGTAATTATCGTAAATAATAGTTATTCAATAATAGATAGTTCATCCATATATTCGTACTTTGACGCGAAGCGCTGTGGATTATGAGATGCTCGATGACCCTGGAGGGATCGATTTTGCTTACTGAGCAGAAAATCATAGATTTAACCCCAAGCTCTTCAACAGCACAATAAATCGCCACCATCATTTGTATATTTGATATTGAACATTAACCTCGGAAACTATTTGCATATCAAGCGAAAACGTAGTCCTGTATTGTCGCGAAGCGTTATGGTTCTGAGATGCTCGATGACCCTGGAGGGATCGTTTTTGCTTACTGAGCAGAAAATTATGGGTTTAATCCCAAGCTCTCCGTCATGACTCTTAAAATTCATTATCACTAAACAAAATTAATATGTTCTTTCGATAGCCGGCTATCGAGAGATTAAATAAACAACAAATAAACAATACATACTTTTGGTTGCATCGCCAACTTGAGGTGAATCCTAACCGAATACCCTACCCAACCCTCCAACTCCGTAGCACTTATGAGGGTGTCGCTAAGTCGGTGGCCTCTCGTTAAGTAAGTACTACATCAACATTTCCTTCCCTATCCCTAGTTATGGTAAAGATGGGCGTGGCCGGGAATAGCGACAGTCATGCTTCTGTTACTCTTGTTTAGATTGAAACCAATGTTTACTCTAGCATTATTCCTGAAAGTAGTCTAACTGAGAATTTCAGAAGAGACGTGAGTGTCGCTAGTATCCAATCTACGAAGTATATCATAACAACGCTAACGCTAATCGAATCGAAGCTGGCAGGGTGTTGCCTCAGATTTCAATGAAATTTTCTGGATGTGTAGACTTTGACTAAATAAGCACTTTTGCATACTCAGTTTTTCCAAAATTTATCTAGACTAACATTTGAGAAGGGCCAAACTTTTTCTGCCGATTTTTTTTTCAAAAAAATATGGAAAAAATGACAACTCCTACAAAAATGTGTTGTATACATGACTTTTAGGAAATTGTCCAAGCTTTCGAAAAAAAATACTGCGAAAAATTCCATTTGAGACCTACATAGAAAAAAAACGATTTTTAAAATTTAAAGTCGATTAAAAAAATGGCCATGTTTGATTTGGATGTAATTTTGCCTCAAGATAGGTAATTATGTTTACTACCATCCGTCCATACATCGCGAGATGGGCACTTTTAAGGAAAAACAGTTTTTCTTACAAAAACTTTTTCATGTCTGAACTGATTTTTTTTTAATTTGCCTTTTTCACACAAAACTAAACCAGTGAAGCTCAAAATCATCTCAGAACCCAATGAAGCTCAATTTGTGATTCAATTTTGTCTAATCGGGCCCTATTACGGGTGTCACTACACGGTGATAAGCAAGTGATACTCAGAATAAGAGCCGTGATTACCGTACAAATCAAATGGGAATCACTTCACCGTGACGACAAGTGACAAGTTTTCACCGTGAAGTGACATCCGGTTTTGGAAAGCAAAAAGTCAGAGCTTTCGAAATATATTACACATTTATGGACTAGTTTCCGTGTTACAATTATTGGTAGACCACTACCCGAGCCACTATCATCATCATCATCATCAATATTCATCAGAGAGAATTTTCATTTCTTTTGACGTAGGACTGAGTCTGTGATTTCTATACACTTTGTGGAAACCGAAAATGGAACATGTAACAACATTATGAAAGATTTTGATCGTTAATAACTCAGCTGCCCCTGGACAAATCAATAATTTTATCACCAATCAATCAGATACATTTCTACGCACCTGTTAATTTTTTTTAAAATGTCACTACTGAAAATTACACGAATGTGCAACTGTTGCTTTGATAATTAAAAGTATCACCGATTGCCTAACACAGATTTCAAAGTTGAATTCCATCCAGTCTTACCAAACGGCGTTTATTCAATCACCGCGTGGTGAGTGGTGGTGTTCTCCAGTACACAACGAAAGGCTCCCGCAAGCAGCTAGCTATCAGCAGCAGTGCCTCTGGCGCGTGGCGTTGAACATAGTTCTCCAGTACACAACGAAAGGCTGCCTGCAAGCAGTGAGCTGTAGCCCACATGAGCATCCATAGAAGGAGGAAGAAGCCTCACTGCTATTGATCAGAATCAGTAGCTCTTCGTGAGTCGCTATGTGTCATTTATGAAAAGCGCGTCACCCTCATTCCAAACAACATACAGCTCACCAGCCTCATCTGTGTTTAACACCCTAACAGTTCAGCATTACTCAACCATCACCAGGCATGGAAAATCATTTGCATTCATTTCATACATTCATTTACATTCATTTGCCTCTAACTTTTTTCATCAACCGCATTCCGCAAAATGATGTATAGAGCTTTTGTAGGTTTTGTTATTAGTTACAACTTTTGCTCATATCTCAAATCTGTATCTCTTATGCATCACGAACTAGAGTGGGCAGAACTTGTTACTGTTTTTCAGTGAATGTAAAATACATTCACTGAAAAACAGTAGTGGCTTCTGTTCGCTCTGGTTCGTCATGCACAAGAGATACGAATTTGACTTGTTAACAAAAGTTGTAGCTAATAACAAAACCTACAAAAGCTTTTACGTCATTTTGCGGAATGCTATTAAAGAAAAAAGTTTAAGGCAAATGAATGTAAATGAATGCACGAAATGAATGTAAATGATTTTCCATGCCTGACCATCACGACAAAACGTTCCTTTTCAGGACCACCGTACATTTGTATAAGAGTATTTTTTTGACATTTGTCAAGGTTATCAATCGGATATCAGTTCCCATATCAATATAGAGCTGGAATTAGGGCGTAACAGCTCCTAAAAATCATCGAGATAAGTCGTTGTTTACAAAAGCTGTTACGCCTAATTCCAGCTCTATCTAGAAATGTTTAAATCTAACATACCATGTACTTTAAGGCAACATTGAGGGTGCGATTTAAAAAAAACCAATGTCGGTCGCGGCATGAAAGTGGTCTGATTTTGATCCAGGGACGATGGATTTTAATTCTTAATACGCCAATCGCGCAAATGCTTTTCATGTAATTTGTACGTGAATATTTAATGAAAATAATGGGAAGTATATATAGAAGCAGTCAATATTATGCAATTTTATCGAGAAGAGATAAATTTCACGTGTTTAAATTAATACTTATATCTACTCAAAAATTGTTAAATATTGACTAATTGATTATTATAAGGTAGAAACGTGTATGAGTTTTTTTTTTTTATTTCTGACAAGATATTAACACCTGTTTGCAGACCTTAAATGCTGATGCCACCGTCTGAAATTATAAAACTTGAAAAAAAAACTACATATAATAATAAATAAAAGAATCTAATTACCGTCCAACATTTGCAGGAAGCGCTGAGGAATTTTGAATCTTTGAAGAGTTCTTCCACCACAAACGTTTGTGTCCCTGAAAATCACGTAAATCTCGTTTTACGGAAATATCGAATTTCCAAACACACAAACACAAATACACTAAATCTGTTTACGTGAATATACAGTAAATTTCACCAACATTTTTAGTGGACATGACGTGTAATGCAGGTCAAAGTTACAAACGTCACGTAACATTTGAGATTTTCTAAATACAAATCAGCTACGTGATATTTCACGTAAATCGGACGTGAAGATTTTTTAGAGTGTATGGTTGTGC